GCTGCATCGTACAGCCAGGCTGGCTTGATGAGCATCGTGGACTTACCGCTCACGAGCTTAGGGGCATTGGAAGTTCAGTCGGTTTCTTTCTCGGACGAGGACAGTGTCGCCACGTATGTCAAAGGAGAAGTCACATGGACTCGGCAAGATAACCTGGACTACGGCTTCGTGGAGGCACGTGGGGGAAGGGGGGATTTCTGGTGCGCACATTGCCTTTGGGTTTTAGTGCATCTGGCCGCCATCTAGCTTTGCTGCAGTTTGGCACCGATAGGCGCCAGACTTCAGTGTTGTAAATAAGCTGGTAAAACGCCTCACCGGCACTGGGCCCCCTGCTCCATTTTGAGGCCTGAATGACTGCCAGGTGGGGCAGAAAAGGGCTGGCAGTCGGAGCACATCCCGTTGCCCAAGGGCACACAAGGAAAAGAACCAGAGGCAAGCAGACGAACCAGCCCACGGTAACCTGACATGCCACCCCGCAATTCAACAGCTTTGCATGGGACTTGTATGACTTGTCAGTGTAGACGGTTCCGATTGACGGCCCCATAACCATGCGATGACGGGGTTGGAGGTTGCTAGAGAAGTTGCTAAAAGCTGGATTTAGTTTCGACGCAGGCATTTGCGGTGTACTTGGCGGATGATGCGTCTGGAAGCAATGAGCTGTTCGTGGCCTCTACCACCTCCAGCCACTCGCAGCTCACCGTTCCCGCAGGGACGCTTGCTGGTGGCCGGTCTTTTGTACTTGTCTACTGCGAGAATGCACTCGGCCGCGCCACTTCAGCCGCCAGCGTCGCTTTCTCCGACTGGGCTCTCAGCGCGCCGTCGACGACAAGAATGTTTTCGTCTGCAACAACGACGTCCAGCGATTCCACCTCTGCAACACAGACTATCACTGGCAGTAGCACCACAACCTCCATTGAATCTAGCAGCAGCACGTCGGCTTCACATACATCTGTGACATCTACCTCCAGCAGCACGGTCACCTTCACTCTGACCGATCAACTGAGAGCCGTGGG